ATATGGGAAAATCAGGCAGGGATGTAAAGTTGGATAGGATTCGTGAGAACATAAAGCAAAGAAAAGCTACAGATTTCAAAATTCATGAAGATGGGAGTTTACGGTGCAAAGGTAGATGGTATGTACCACAAAAATGTGAGGAAGTAAAGAGAAAATTGATGGAGGAAGGACACAATACACCATACTCAGTACACTTAGGAGGGGACAAGATCTACAAAGACTTGAAAAAATGTATTGGTGGCCTAGAATGAAGAATGAAGTTGCGGAATTTGTAGCAAAGTGTCTAACTTGTCAAAAGGTGAAAATAGAGCACATGAGACCGTAAGGAACCGTGCAATCATTGAAAATTCCTATATGAAAGTAGGATTGCATTTCATTGGACTTTGTGACATGCTTCCCAAAGTCAAAAAGTAGAAATGATACCATTTGGGTCGTGGTGGATAGACTTACCAAACCCGTAGTGTTCATACCAATGAAGGAGACCTGGTAGATGGAGCAACTTGCAAAAGCTTAAATCAAGAATGGTGTGAGGTTACATTGAGTTCCAAAATTGTGTCTGATAGATATTCTAGGTTTCTTTAAAAGTTTTGGAAGAGCGTTCAGGAAAACTTTGGTACAACACTAAAGATGAGTACATCATTTCACCCGGCCATAGATGGACAAACCGAGGGAACTATTCAAACCTTGGAAGATATGTTGAGAGCTTATGTCATAGACTTCCAAGGGGGATGGGAAGATAGCTTGGCCTTAATTAAATTTCCTTATAACAATAGTTATCATGCGAGCATTGTTATGGCTCCATTTGAGGCATTATATGGAAGGGAGTGTCGTAGTCCTGTATGTTGGAACGACATAAGTGAAACAATTATCTTAGGGGCTCAAATGATTGAAGATAGAGTTAAGAAAGTAAAGGAGATTCAAGCAGCACAAGACCGTTAAAAGAGTTTTGCAGATTTGAAGCGTAGGGAAGAAGAGTTTGAAGTTGGTGACAGAGTTTTGCTGAAACTGTCATCAATGAAAGGTTTCATGAGATTTGAGAAGAAAGGAAATCTTAGCCTTAAGTATATTGGACCATATGAGATATTACACGGGATAGGCAAAGTAGCTTATAGGTTGGCCCTACCCATGGAGCTAAGTAAGGTGCATGATGTATTTCATGTGTCTCTCAGTTAAAAAGGTATATACCTGATAAGTCATATGTGCTACAACCTAAAACAATTGAGTTAGATCAAAGCTTAATTTACGAGGAAAGACTTGTCAAGGTCCTTGACAGTAAAGTGCGTAGTACACACAACAAGGAAGTTAAGATTGTTAAGGTGCTATTGTCTATCCAAGAATATGAGGAAGCAATTTTGGAAGCTAAGGATGAGATGAAAGAGAAATACCCTGAGTTATTTGAGGTATGTTGAGTTATTGAGTTACAGAGACGTAACTCGTTTTCTTTAAAGGGGTAGAATGCGGTAGAATTTCGCGCTTTTTCCCTAAATTTTCAATTATTTTAGTGCTTCTTGCACAGTTTTAACGGTTATTTCGAGTACTTTTGATTTCAAAGAGACATTTGAGGTAAAAGTATGTCAAAAGAGTACAACAACATTACACAAAGTGAGGAAAAATGTTGATTTTTCGTTACCCAAGTTTCGGGATGAAACTTTTTATAAGGGGGGGGGGGGGTAGACTGTAATACCCCGTATTTTTATACGTATTTTATTTTAAAACATTATTTTGTGAAGTATTTAAATAATTCGAAATGAATTATTTATGGTATATTAAAATTTTAAAAAGGTTTATTTTAATAAAAGTCTATTTTTATTTATTTAATTGTTTTGGAAATATTTGATTTTATTATTTAGAAACTTGGGGCATAATTTTTTAATAAAAGGAAGTTTTAAAATTTAAGTTAGGAGGGTTTTGAGAGAGGGTATAAATACCCATCTTATGAGCAAATTAGACCTTACCCAATGTGGAGAATACCTTAAGGTAAACTCTCTTTCTCTCTCTTCTTAATTTTTCCCTTCTTGTTTTTATTTTCTCACCTCCACGCCATACACCCACACGCCACACAAACGTGGCTTGCCATCACCACAGCCACCCACCGGCCGGCCACAAGCAACAAGGCGCGCCACGCTGGAAGGCCTTGTGCTTGGATGGCCCAGCCAGCAAGGCCAAAACACTGCGCACATGCTCGGTAAGCTTCGCATGCTTCCGGACTTCTGTGCAAGCTGGCACTAGCTGAGGCCCAGCGAGCTTGCTAGCTGCTAGCCTTGCTAACATTGCTAGCTCTGGCATGCCAGCGCTGCTAGCATGCGTTGCTAGCGAGCTAGCTCGGCATGGAACGACTTCCTAGCTAGCACGCGCATGTTGCTGTTGTGCTTGCGGCCATCTTCTTACGTGCTAGCAGCCCTTGCTAGCCACATTTTTCTAGCCCTCGCATGGCTAGGCCATTCCGAGGCTAGGGATATGCGTTATGACTTGTTGTTTGACTAATTTTCTCGTCTCGTCGATTGCATATATTGACTTAACGTTCAACGCTTTGCTTCAACGCTCTATGTTCGGAATCCGATGTCTTAGTTCGTAAAATCTCTATCCACTCAATTAATCCTTCAAATTAATTCGTCGCCTTGGTTCGGTTGCACGATTGGGTGTGCCCCGAAGGATTAAGTCAAGAGCAAGCTGTAATATTAAATATACATTAATATTACCGATCGAAAGCGGCCTCCAACTAGGCATTCCGATCATTTGACCTCACTGAATAATTAGCTTTCCTAATTAGTTCTGAATTCTCTTTCAGAATAATACACTTGTTCGAAGGACACCATTCCTTTCAGATGCCACCTAAGAGGGCAATTGATTTCACAATAGAGTTGGTTCTGGGGACAGCACCAATTTCCAAGGCAGCATATGGAAAGGCATCGACAGAAATGAGTGAGTTGAAGGAGCAACTGCAGGATTTACTAGAAAAGGGGTACATTAGACCAAGTGCATCGCCTTAAGAGCTCTAGTGTTGTTTGTTAAGAAAAAGGATGGAAGTATGAGGTTATGTATTGCTTCTAGGGAGTTGAATAAGGTAACCATAAAGAACAAGTACTTATTACCAACAATTGATGACCTACTTGACCAATTAAGGGGCGCATCTTTGTTTCCAAGATTGATTTAAGGTTTAGATACCATCAGTTGAGGATCGTAGACGAAGATATTCCCAAGACTCCATTTAGAACAAGGTGTGAACATTATGAGTTTACAGTAATGTCGTTTGGATTGTCGAATGCTCCAGCAATTTTTATGGACTTGATGAATAGGTTATTCTATCCATTTATGGACAAGTTTATCGTAGTGTTCATAGATTATATATTGGTGTATTCGAAGAACAAAGAAGAAGATGTGGAACATTTCATAGCAATTTTACAAACTTTAAGGGAGAACAAGCTTTATGCGAAGTTTTCTAAGTGTTAGTTTTAGTTAGAGAAAGTATCATTGCTGGGCCAATTTGTTTCCAAGGATGGGCTAGAAGTAGATCCAGCAAAGATTGAGGAAGTGTAAGGATGGCCTACGCCAAAGACGGTGTTTGGCATTAGGAGTTTCTTAGGTTTAGCAGGGTATTGTAGGCGTTTTGTGAAGGACTTTTCTAAGATTGCTAAGCCTCTGACCTCTCTAATGAAGGACAAGAAGTTCGAGTAGGATGAGAAGTGTGAGAAAGCGTTTCAACTCTAGAAGCAAAAGTTGATTACGGCGCCAGTGCTAACGTTGCCAGATGATACCGGGATCTACGATGTATATAGTGACGCATCCAAAAATGGTCTAAGATGTGTGCTTATGCAAAATGGAAAGGTGATTGCATATGCATCAAGACAGTTAAAATCTCATGAAGTAAACTACCCTACTCAAGGCATTACTTGGAGTGAAATGTAGGATATACACAGACCACAAAAGTGTGAAGTACATCTTCACCCAAAGAGATCTAAAGTCACGCCAAAGGAGATGGTTAGAATTTGCAACGGACTACGACTTGGACATACTATACCATGAAGGGAAGGAAAATGTAGTTGCAGATGCTTTAAGTCATAAGACCGGTCATGGACTGAACACTTTGATAGTGGCTGATGAGTTGTGTAGGGAAATTAGAAAAATCAACCTAGAAGTGGTGGAACAGGGAGTACCAGCAGGTATACATGCAAACCTAAGCATTTAACCAACTATATTTGAGAGATAAAGGAAAATCAGGCTGGGGATGTCAAGTTGGATAGGATTCGTTAGAAATTAAAGCAAGGAAAAGCTACAGATTTCAAAATTCATGAAGATAGGAGTTTAAGATACAAAGGTAGATGATGTGTACCACAAAAATGTGAGGAAGTAAAGAGAAACTTGATGGAGGAAGGACATAATAAACCACACTTAGTACACCCCTGGAGGGGACAACCTATACAAAGACATGAAAAAGATGTATTGGTGGCCTAGAATGAAGAATGAAGTTGCGAAATTTGTAGCAAAGTGACTAACTTGTAAATGTGTGAAAATAGAGCACAAGAGACATCAAAGAACCGTGCAATCATTGGAAATTCTTAGATGGAAGTGGGATTGCATTTCGATGGACTTTGTAACTTGCCTCCCAAAATCAAAGAGTGGAAATGATACCATTTAGGTCGTGGTGGATAGACTTACCAAATACGTAGTGTTCACACCAATGAAGGAGACCTGGAAGACGGAGCAACTTGCACAAGCTTACATCAAGAATGTTGTGAGGTTACATGGTGTTCCAAAAGATATTGTGTCTGATAGAGATTCTAGATTTCTTTCAAGTTCTGGAAGAGTGTTCAGGAAATCTTTGGTACAACACTAAAGATGAGTACAACATTTCACCCTGCCATAAATGGACAAAAAAAGAGAACTATTCAACCCTTGGAAGATATGTTGAGAGCTTGTGTCATAGACTTCCAAGGGGATGGGAAGATAGCTAGTACTTAATTGAATTTTCTTATAACAGTAGTTATCATGCGAGCATTGGTATGGCTCTATTTGAGGCATTATATGGAAGGAAGTGTCGTAGTCTTGTATGTTGGAACGACATAAGTGAAACAATGATCTTAGAACCTCAAATGATCGAAGATAGAGTTAAGCAAGTAAAGGAGATTCAACCTAAGATTCAAGCAGCACAAGACCGTCAAAAGAGTTATGCAGATTTGAAGCGTAGGGAACAAGAGTTTGAAGTTGGTGACAAAGTGTTTCTAAAAGTATCACCAATGAAAGGTGTCATGAGATTTGGGAATAAAGGAGAACTTAGCCCAAAGTACATTGGACCATATGAGATATTACAGAGGATAGGCAAAGCTTATAGGTTGGCCTTACCTATGGAGCTAAGTAAGGTGCATGATGTATTTCATGTGTCTCAGTTAAGAAGGTATATACCTGATAAGTCACATGTGCTACAAATTAAAACAATTGACTTAGATCAAAGCTTAACTTACGAGGAAAGACCTGTCAAGATCCTTGACAATAAAGTGCGTAGTACACACAACAAGGAAGTTAAGATTGTTAAGATGTTATGGTCTAAGCAAGAATATGAGGAAGCAACTTAGGAAGCTGAGGACGAGATGAAAAAGAAATACCCTGAGTTATTTGAGGTACGTTGAGTTACGGGGACGTAACTCGTTTTCTTTAAAGTGGGTAGAATGTGGTAGAATTTCGCGCTTTTTCCCTAAAATTTAAGTCATTTTAGTGCTTCTTGCACATTTTTAACGGTTATTTCGAGTACTTTTTATTTCAAGGAGACATTAAAGGTAAAAGTATGTGAAAAGAGTACAACAATATTACACAAAGTGAGGAAAAATGTTGAATTGTTACCCAAGTTTTGGGACGAAACTTTTTTCATGGGGGGTAGACTATAATACCCTGTATTTTTATACGTATTTTATTTTAGAACATTGTTTTGGGAAGTATTTAAATAATTCAAAATTATATATTTATGGTATATTAATAATATAAAAAGCATTATTTTAATTAAAAATCCATTTTTATTTATTTAATTATTTTGGAAATATTTTATTTTATTATTTAGAAACTTTGGGGCATAATTATTTAATAAAAAGAAGTTTTAAGGTCAACGGAATTTTAAAGAAAGTCAATGGCTATTTTGAATAGGAGTAGGAATCATTAAAGGTAGAAAGGGAATTTAAGCTAGGGGGATTTTGAGAGAGGGTATAAATACCCATCTTATGAGCAAATTAGACCATGCCCGAGGTGGAGAATACCCAAAGGTAATCTCTCTTTCTCACTTCTCTTATTTTATCTCTCTCCTTAATTTTTCCCTTCTCCCTTTTATTTTCTCACCTCCACACCACACACCCGACCCACACGCTACACACACGTGGCCGACCACCACCACAACATCCCACCGGCCGGCCACCACCACCAGCGAAGTGGTGTGTGCGTGCGTAACCCAACAACCAAAAAAAAACTCTCTCACTTGTTTTATTTTAATCCAACCTTGATTAATTATTATTTTTAGGCGTGTGTGATGTTTTTATTATGCTTTAATCATGGTTAATATGTAGATAATTTTCATATTTAGTTTTTGAATTAAAAAACCCCAAATTGAAAACCCTAGGTTTCTAAATTAATGTTTATTGATGAAATTTGACTGTAGTTGATTAAAACTATTGAAATTAATGGTTTTAAACTAAATTACAGCAAGTATAAGAGCTTTTACAATGCTGGAACTTTTATGTAGAGGCTAGAATTATGTTTCTTAAAAGGATTTTTAATTACCCATTGATTGGAAATAAAAGTAGGTGGTTTAAATTAATTTTCAGCATGTTTTAGAAGGTTTAAAAGTGATTTAAAGAGTGTATATTGCTGGAAATTTATTATGAATAGGTATTAATGTCTCTTTGTCATTTTGGGTTGTAGAAGATTTCCAAGTGAGTGATTTTGTGTAATCGTGGTGATTTTGAGATCATGTTCCAGGTACGTTCGCATACTCTGTAATTATTTAAGTGTGTAGAAGGATGCTGGGCTTTGTTTAATTAGTACCAAGGTAATATCATGATAGGTATTGGTTGGAATTGTTGATTGGATTGATTTTGGTGATTTTGTTTTTAAGTATGAATTATTTGAGGTGAATTGTTGATTGGAATTAATTATGTTGGCATGTTGATTATGAACCATACTTTAATTATTGGCATGATTGAGAGCATGTTTAATTAAACTAAATATTTAATTTGGTGTGGATTATGAAAAGGGAATTTTGTTATGGTTCATATAATTTTTATTGATGCTATAAGCATGGGAAAGGAGCTATTTAAGTGTCTATGTACACGAGAATTAAATTATATTTTGGTCCCTTAGTGCACTTAAGATGTTCTAAACACCGAGGGATAGGATTCGTGGTGCATGATGCGCTTAAGGTGTTATTTAACGTCGAGGTAGTTTAAAAAGGGTTCAACATTAAATTAAATGCGGTCACTAATTATTCAAGTATTAAATTGGTATGTTTGATTGGTTGAATGATTATTATGATTGATTGTGTTATGGTTTGAGACTCATCACCAACTCTAAAAATATGTAAACAACGTAAAGTGAAAGAGATTACGCACCAAAACTCTTAGAACATATATTACCTTGAGTATGAACATATGGGGGGAGTTATGCGATTTTATATTTGACCATAACTTCTAAGAGTACATGACACTGTATTTTCCTTTTTATTCTGCATAGGAATTCTGCCACTTACGAGTGGTTCTTTTATACTGGCAGAATTACCTCCCGTGTTAGTACCCCTTTATTGGGCCAGGTTAAGGGGAAACCCGTTCGATGCGTAATCAAATTAAATAAGCAATTTAGTAATTTATTGGTTAACTGTGTTGTATGTTGTAAGCTTGTAAGCAGGTGCAATAAGGTAAGCTGTGTGATGATAGGATGAAAGCATGTTAGTGTGTACTATTTACGCTTATGTACTCAGCATTGTTGATTGTGTGTTTGTATGTTTGTTTGGCCTTGTTTTTATCTTGGCCCTAGGATAACCCATTTCTAATGGCGAGTAGTGGGGACAAAGTAATGAGAAGTCTCTTAGGTAGTGAAGCATATTCATGATGAGCATGAGTGAAGAGCAAATCCTGTTTAGTTTCCATCTGAATATGATGTGTTTTATTTGCTTAGAGTATTATATATTTTCTTGTGAGACTCACACAAAGGTTTTAATATTCGTTTTGGGTTTGAATAAGGGCCTACAATGGTTCCAAGTTTTAGGTTGACTTTGGTTTGACTTTACTTTCGTTTGGTTTGACTTTTAAGTTGACTAGTTTTGAATGGTTTTTAAAGTGAGTCTTCTGCTGTGTGTCTTTGATAATTGCCTTAGTCGTTATCACGGTGATGGTAATGTCTTAGGTTTTTCTATTTCGTATTCTTAAAAGAGTAAAACAGGTATTTTAAAGGAAAGGAATTTCTAGGGTGTTACAAAGTGGTATATGGGAGCTTTAGTTGAGATTTTTATTACCACTAAAGCCCAAAACGTGTTTTAAATATTTTGTTTTAAACTTGGCCAAGTCATTAATTAATGAGTTATTTTACAAAGTAAGTTGTTTTATTTTATTCTACATAATTTAAGTTTTTTTAGAGGACCGAAAATAATTTTTTTTTTATTAATAGGTCCGAATTTTTTTTAATTAAGAAGCTAAGTCCGAAAATATTTTTTAAAGGGGTGTGCGAATTTTTTTTAATGTTGGCTGAAAATTTTGGCCTTTCTGGAATTAATTTTCAAAAATTTCTTTTAAAAAGGGAGTCAAAAATATTTTTAGTTTGTTCATTTTGAAGAAAAGTGAAGGATTAGGTAAGAATTATGTGTTAAGAGCTTTAAAAGCATGTTTGTGAGCTTGGGTAGGAAAAAATTTGGGGCATGTAAGTTAGAATTATTCATGTTCTTGTATGAATTAATATTTAGGTTGTGATGTTTGATCATATGAGTTGATTGATGTGGAAGCATGTAATTATGTGATAACAAATAAGTAAAATTGTTTGATTGAACATTGAACCTAAATTTATGCAAAAACTATGTTATTTTATTTTTTCTTTGGAAAGGGAATCTTTTTTAAGTCTTTTCCTTTACAGGATGCCGATCTTTCCTAGCAAACACTCACAAATTGGAACCCTAATTAAGAAAGATTATGAACATCCCTTTGACTATGTCAAGAAAGTTCATTTCTATTATTCACACATGAGCGATGTCCTAGGAGACAAACAGTATGAGCTTCCTAATCATGTTTTAGCTATGATAGTTCACTGTCTTCTAGATGAACCCCCATATCTTGATGTCAAAGCAAAATTTTCTGATTTCGACTTACCCGAGGACATCCCTAATTACTCCAAATACAAAGATTATTATGGACAGTGGTACCCTGATTACAGATACTTGATTTCTTATCTTGTTCTAGTTGAGAAGTATCACTGTCATCGCTTACATATTCCATATCAAAATTACTACTATGATAACCCAATAAGGAATAATTCCCCTTCTACTAGTAATCAATTAGGAAATTCTTCTCCACCACAGGTAATCAAGCAGGAGAAAATGGAGGGCAAGAGGAAGGAGAGCTAATGGATGAGAATAACCATACTTTTTATAGTTCTATTATGGAAATATCTAATCCAAATCCACCCCCAACTCCAATCATTATTGACATTTCATCTGACGATGAGGAAGATGAAGAGTTTATTCAAGTAGAGCAAAACCTAGAGAAACCTGAACCAATGGAGGAGGAAAATGACCCTGAATTCGATCTTGGAAGCTATAAACAATCAAATGACAAGAAGGACAATGTTCGAAAGGACTAAATTTTTTTAGTTTCATTTCTTTAAGAATTCTTAGTTTCATTTTCGCGGTTTTAATTATTTCCTTTTTCAGTAAAGTAATAAGTGGCATGGCCACAGTGAGTCAATAAACCTATTGAGTTGTGTAGGTTATTCGAACTCATTTCATTTTATATTCCAGCCATTTTCTTTCTCAGCAATAAAATTTATAATTCAGTTCACTACCAAATAATTCATTTTATTTCCAAATCATTCATTTCATATCACTACTCCAATGAGCCATTTCTTACTAAAAAATTCCAATAATTCATTTCCAAACTCTAGGAAAAATCATGGGAATTATTTTTATTTATTATTGTGGTGCTTTATTAAATGTATGGTTGGTTAAAAATCAAATTTTGGTTGATCAATCTACAAAATTTAGGAGTTGTAATTTTGCAACCTCAATTTCTTAGCTAAAATTTAATATGAGTGTATGGAGGTTATAAGTTAGTTAGATGGGTGTCTAACTTGAGAGCTAGCCATAACCATAATTAATAGAGACCCCTTGTTTTAAATCAGGATAAGAATGATGGTAGGAGGAAGTGGAAACAATAATGAAGGAGGTGAGCTGAGTGAGGTTGTAAGGCAGTTGGCAATGGTCGCCAAGCAGTTAGCAAGAAACTCGACTAACAATGGGGATGCTCATGGGGAATTGTTCAAGAAGGTGGTGCAAAGCAAGCCACCAACCTATCAAGGCGAATTAGTCCCAATAGTGTTAGAAAACTAGTTAAGG